CTATTCAAGGGGCCCTTCTTTCTGTTCTCTCTGCTCCTCCGGGTGGCATGGAGTCTCTGAGCTGACAGTGAGGCTGTCACGTACCAGTTCCCAAAGTGAAAATACTTCACTCGGAGGCTTTCCCAGCTATTGGAGCTCCTGTCTTTCTCTAAGCTGCCTTCCAACCCTTTCAGACCTCTGATACTGTTTCGTTTCCCTGGACTTGTCTTTCTCGAAGATGTGCCCCAACCCAATCCCACATCTCTAAATCGAGACTGTTTTCTTTAGGATCGAGGTACCGGGCACGAAGCCAGCCAAGGAAATCCTCCTTGGCTAAAAGTTACGTTTTGGCTAAACTATTATTTTCTCCAAGCACTATTTTAAACAATTGCAGATAAAATGCATGACTTTTTTACTGTTTGTTCCATACTTCCTTATTTCTAAAATTTTAAAAGAGAAAGCAAAACATTCACTCAGAAGTCACTCAGATGCTCATCTGGCCGCATCTCTCGTGGGACTTTAAAATTTGTCTTGCCTAAGGCGCACCTGTATAAGCCCCAGGCCAGGTGGACAAGTGTCCAGAGACAAATGCCCAGTTGCCGTTATGCCTTATGACAAATTACAGAAACACAGATTAGAGCCCAAACAAATTCCATAGCCAAAGCCGTGGAACCATAAGCAATCACTCTCACACTCACACACTTTCACACGAAAAATATCCCAAATTTTACTCCCACTGAAACCTAGATTGTAGCAATTACAGGATGGCTAATTCTTTCTCTTGCTAAATCAAAACCCAAATTTGCCTTTACCTACACCAATGTAGCACGCTGTCTCTGAAGGGCTCTCCCACTGACGGTTGCCTGCAATCCGAGCTCAGGGTCCCTGCTCGGGCGCCACTTGCCAAGGCCCACTCGACCCACCCGAGGACACCTGGTTGATCAGACCAGGGCCGCCCCCCCCTCCCCCCAAACAGTCCCTGAGAGGATTGGATGGGAGATGAGAAATAAAGAGAAGAGACAAAAGTGCTGGGAACAGGAGGGACTCAGACTGCAGCAGACTGAGATCTCGTTTATNCTCCTACCAGGTGGCCTCTGGCTGGGCACAGGCAGTGGTTGACTTTGACCTGCACCTCAGCCTCTCCCAAGAGGCCCCACAACCAACACACCTGATTTAAGACCACACCAGATCATCAACCAATTAGATCCATAAATGACACACTCAAAGGGTGAACTTAGCAGGCACCAGAGCCCTGCTAAAGCTCCTGCTCTGTAGGGTCAGACCCTGCACAACAGTTCGTCTGCTATGGTGACAGCCAATACTCACAACCAAGGTCAATTCTACATACTGATGTGCCAACAGCAATCAAGGCTCATATACAACAGGAGAACACAAACAACCCATACAAGGTACACCCCTGGAGAACCCAGTTCAGGTGACCAGGGAGACTATGTCCCTGGGTCTTACAAAATAACTACTACATAAAGCCACTCTGCCAAAACTGGAAGACACAGCAGGTCCACCTAATACATAGAGACAAGCACAGGGAGGCAGCCAAAATGAGGAAACAAAGAAACATGTCCCAAATGAAACAATAGGACAGAACTCCAAACAAAAGAACTAAATGAAATGGAAGCAAGTAATCTATCAGATGCAGAGTTCAAAACACTGGATGTTCAATGAACTTAGGAAAGAATGGATTATCTCAGTGAGAACTTCAACAAAGATATAGGAAACATAAGAAAAGGAGATAGAAAACATAAAAAAGAATGAGTCAGGAAAGAATATAATAGGTGAAACGAAGGATACATTAGATGGAATCCACAGCAGATTAGATGAAACAGATTGAATCAGCAATTTGGAAGACAAGGTAGTGGAATTTACCCAATAAGAACAACAAAAAGAAGAAAGTATTTAAAAAATGAGGATACTTTAAGAATCTCTGGGACAACATCAAGTGTAACAACATTTGCATCACAAGGGGATTGAGAACCTATTTGAAGAAATAATGACTGAAAACTTCCCAAACCTGGTGAAGGTAATAGGACATACAAGCTCAGGAAGTGCAGAGTCCCAAACAAGATGAACCTAAAGACACATCATAATTAAAATGCTAAAACTTAAAGACAAAGAAAGAATCTTAAAAGTGACAAGAGAAAAGCAGTTAGTTACCTACAAAGAGCTATTGTAAGACCATTGGCTGATAATGGTCCCTGAGAGGATTGGATGGGAGATGGGAAATAAAGAGACAAAAGTGCTGGGAACAGGAGGGACTCAGACTGCAGCAGACTGAGACCTCGTTTATTGGAAAGGCTCTGGTTATATAGGCAGTAAGTTCCTCTTTGTGCAGGGGAATTTAGCAGGGGGCTTTGGGTGTAGGCATACAGAAACCAGGAACTAGGCTGGGGATTTCAGGAGGTCCGAAATCCCCTAAGGAATAAGTCCATAGTGAAACTGTAAACAAGCCTTGCGGTGGGCTCTGCGGTGGGCTTTCTGTGGGAATGGATACTTTTGGGAGTGTCCAAGCCTTGCGTATGCAGTTACTAAGCAGACTCTCTTATCCAGCTGCTCCTTCAGGCATAGGGTCCTGCATAGAGGCATGTAACAGTTTGTCACAGCTTCAGTATCCCCAACTGTCCTCAATTGGCTCCCAACATCTCCCCCTTTTTTGTTTTTTAAATAAGAGCTTTGTCTAGACTGGCAATGTCCCACTCAGACTATGCTAATTGGGCTATGGCCTACTGACTAGCTCGGAGTAAGAAAGACAGGACCCTTGGTGACTGTGCCTGTCTTAGGTTGTCCCCCTATGGAGATCTTACCCGTCATTGGCTATCCAGCCCCAGCTCACGGGTCCAGACCTGGGAGGGGGAGCCTGAGGACAAAGGATCTTGGTTACATACTACCCTAAGGAGGGGCATGGAGAGAGCTATGTGTGGACTTATCATGAAAAATCACAAGTCAAATACAGTAGATTACAACCTTGGGGAAAAGAGGAACATCATATTGGGTACAATAATGAGGAATAAAGGACCAATGTCTTGTAAGGCAAAGTTGTACAGAATGAGGGACGAATGTCCCCTAGACCAGAGTCTTTAAAGTTTCTGGAGAAACAATTTCTCCTAGTAATAAGCTATAGGATGTACAATACAACATAACGATACAACATAACATGAATCAATGATACATTTTGAGCAAAATGAAACAAAAGCAAACTGGTTAGTTATTGGAGAAAAGCTCCGAGGTGTTCAAAGTGTGAAAGTCCATAAGTCCATAATTAGTAAAGTCTCTACAGCTTCCAGCGACAGTTAGTGAAGAGAGTTTCTAGTGGGTGTAGATCTCTCGGAGTGTTGTCTGGCCTTTGTCAGGAGTACGGCATGACGGGATTCAAGACAAGAAGCGAAATCCATGTTATGGTTTGAACAGTGTTGTAGCAGGAAGCACTAGTGTCGCCGACGTCATGGAGGTTCCATTTCCATCATGAGTCGTGTGCGAAGTATCTCGAGGCTGATCTCACACAGACAGGCCTTCAGGACCACGCCACGGATAGAGATCACACAGATCATTAGTAGTAGGAAAAGTACAGTAGCACTGAGGACCCAGGTAATCACTTGTAGGGCACTAATGGGTTTAAATTTACTAAGAGAATTTAGAATATTGTTGGCTAGAGAGTTTGGATCTTCTACCTCTAGTCGACTGTCTTGGATATCACTGATAATCTCATGTAAGTTTCAGAGGTCACCATCAGGGTTGGAAGCATTCCAGACACCTGTGAGCTGTTTACAAATGTCTTTCCAATCCCACTGTGTTCTTTTGTAGAGATATGGGGTCACGCATACCCGTTGGTATCTGGAGTGACACCGAAGGGATAGGTGGACACGAAGGGCTTCCACCTCCTTTCCTATTTTCACAACAGTGTCCTCCAACACAGTAACTCTGGCCTCCAACTTGGAATCTATTTTTTCCTCCAACAACAGGGCAATAGTGAGGTTGTTTGCCAACTGTTCTACATAATCTGCTGTCTGGATGGAATTTCTTATGGATACNCTGATGCAGTTATATAAGCACATTTCAGAACTCTGAATTTGCATCTCACCACACAAATCGTATCTATTTTCTGGATGGGAAAGGAGCAAGTGGATTAAATGGTAGTTGTCATAAGATGCAGATATAGTGCTGGATAAAGAAGAAATTGTGGAGAACAGATGAGACATCAGTATGGCTTGGTCAAGGCTAACCTCAGCAGCTCCTGGTTCCACACCCCTACAGCCCAGCCCGGGGATGGCCATTCAGCGTGCCCACCTAGCACAGCTTCTTTCTCCTCTTGGATGCCAGCCACAGGCTTAACTAGACCACATC